TGACACCGCAATTTACTTTTTCTTTTATGGTTAGTGCTTTTTGTATACTTTTAAAGAAATCTCTGCCTGTTTCTAAGTAATACAGATATTCTTTTATGTTTTCTTTTACAAGCTTTATAATTTCACCTTTCACATTTAGGTCTCTGATCCATCTGGAATTTTTTGTGCATGTGGTGTAAGGAAATAGTTTAAAGACATTTCTTATTATTTATATGAGTAACTAATCGCTTCAGCACTTATCTTGAAAACATCGTCTTTTCCCCTATTGAATTGCATTGACCCTTTTGGAGATAATCAAGTGGTTATATACATGGTGGTCTATTTTGGACTTGATTCTCTTTTTTATTTTCTTCAAATTTTCATACTAACAGACCAGTCTCTCTTAATTACTGAGACTTCATATAAATCTTGAAATCTGGAAATGTAAGTCCTCCAACTTTATGTTGTTTTTCTTCCCCCCCAAGACTGTCTAGCTTATTCTAGGATGTTACATTTCCATAGCAGAGTAAGTTTCTCAACTCCTACCACACAAGTTGCTGATAATTTGATTGCAATTTTTTGAGTTTATAGATCAATTGAAGACAATTGATATTTTAACATGTGGCATCTTCAGATTTATAAATATAACTCTCCATTTATTCAAGTCTTCCCTAATTCCCTTTATTAATGTTTTATCATTTTAATTTTATTTATCTTGCATATATCCTTCACTAAATTCATTTGTTTATTTCATTGTAAATGGCATTTTTATTTTACAGTTGCTTTTAACCAGAATCTAGAAATACAATTGAATTTCGTATTCAATGACTTTGTTCAATTCACCTATTTTGGGTTTTTTGGAACATAGTAAATTGTACACATCTGTGGATGCAGCATTGAATACCAATACTTATGTGCAATATGTGATGTTCAAATCAGGATAATTAGTATACTCAACATTATATGATGTAGTCAATTTTAATGTCATTTTAATAATTCCTCCCTCACCCCCATCTCCTCCCCCTTTCCCACCTCTGTAACCTCAGTTCTGTTCTCTTCTTTTGAAAGTTCAACATATTATTGTGATTGTTGTATCTTTCTTTCTTTTTTATTTATTTGTTTATTTTTATAGCTCCCACTCATAAGCGAGGACATGAGGTATTTCTCTTTCTGTGTGTGGCTTATTCCACTTAACATTATTTTCTCTAAGTTCATCCATGTTGCTGTGAATGGCAGTATTTCATTCTTTTTTATGGCAGAGTAGTATTCCATTGTATAAATACACCATTCCCTTATCCAGTCATGTGACAATGGACATTTAGGTTTGTTCCAACTCTTGGCTATTTTAAATAGAGCTGCAGTAAATGTGGGAGTGCAGGTATCCCTTCAACACGATGATTTCCATTCCTTGGGGAATATACCCAGTGGTGGAATTGCTGCATCATATGGCAGTTCTATCTGAAGTTGTTTGAGGAAACTCCATACCATTTTCCATAATGGCTGCACCAATTTACAGTACCACCAACAGTATAGTAGTGTTCCCCCTTCTACACATCCTGGCCAGCATTTGTTATTCTCTGTCTTCCTGATAATAGCCAGTCTAACTGGAGTGAGATGATATATCAATGTGGTTTTGATTTGCACTTCCCTGATGTTGAGTGATGTTGAGCATTTTTTCATCTGTCTGCTGGCCATTCATATATCCTCCTTTGAGAAATGCCTTTTTGGCTCCTTTCTCCATTTTTGAATCAGGTTATTTTTTTTTTTACTGCTAAGTTGTTTGAGATCCTTGTATATTCTGGATATTAATCTTTTGTCATGTGCATAGTTTGCAAATATTTTCTCCCAATCTATAGGTTGTCTTTTCACTCTTTTAATTGTTTGTTTAGCTGTGCAGAAGCTTTTTAGTTTGATATAATCCCATTTGTTTATTTTTCCATTTGTTGCCTGTGCTTTTGGTGTCGTGTTCCCAAAGTCTTTGCTCAGTCCTACATCCTGAACTGTTTCCCCTATGCTTCCTTGTAAGAGTTTTATAGTTTCAGGATGTATATTTTAGTTTTTTAATCCATTTTGAGTTGACTTTGGTATATGGTGAGAGGTACGGATCCAAATTCATTCTTCTACATACGGATGTCCAGTTTTCCCAGAACCATTTATTTAAGAGGTAGTTTTTTCCCCAATGTAAGTTTTTGGTGCCTTTGTCAAAGATCATTTGGCTGTAAGTATGTTGATTTCTTGGTTCTCTATTCTGTTCCATTCTGTTTTATGATGGTACCACGCTGTTGTGGTTACTATAGCGATGTAGTGCAATTTGAAGTCAGGTAGTGTTATGCCTCTGGATTCATTTTATTTTCTTTATTTATTTTTGCTCAGGATTTCTTTGGCTGTTCGTGGTCTTTCATTGTTCCATATGAATGTTGGGATTGTTTTTTCTATTTCTGTGAAGAATGTCATTGGTATTTTGATGGGGATTCCATTGAATCTGTTAATTAAATAAATGGACAAATTTCTAGACACATATAAACTACCAAGACTGAACCAAGAAGACATAGAAAACCTGAACAGACCAATAACAAGCAATGAGATTGAAGCAGTAATCAGCAGTCTCCCAACAGAAAAAAAGCCCAGGGCTGGATGGCTTTACAGATAAATCCTACCAAACCTTCAAAGAGGAATTAAAACCAATTCTCTTCAAACTATTCCAAAAGATTGAAACAGAAGCCATTCTCCCAAACTCATTCTATAAGCCAGAATAACCCTGATACCAAAACCAGAAAAAGATACAATAAAAAAAAAAGCTATAGGCCAATATCTTTGATTAACATATACCCAAAAATCCTCAATAAAATATTAGTTCTACTATTATGTTTCTTTATAGATTCCTTTAAGTTTTCTAAATTTATAATTGTCATCTGTGAATAAATATTGTTTTACTCATCGCTTTCCAAACCTGATGCATTTTATTTCCTTTTCCTGATTTGACGCCAGTTCTTCCAATATGCCAATGAATAGAAGTGGGGATAGTGTATTTTCTTGTCTTGTTCCTGACCTTACAGTCAAAACATTTAATAGTTCACCATTAATTATAACGTTTACTTTGGATGTTTTTATAGATACCCTTTATAAGATTATGAACTCTTTCTTACATTTCTAGATTGTTGAGAGTATTCATCATGTGAGGGCATTGGTCTTTTATCAAATTCTCTTGCCGTTTTTAAAATACGTTGAGTCCATTATTTTGGCTTTTCATCAAGCAAAAGAGGAAAACTGCTCACTATGGTCCTACAGATGATATAACCTTCTAAAATTCGAGTTACTCTGCAAATACCCAGTCGATGGACAAATATAATTTTAGATTCTCTAAAGTTATACAAAATACTTTTTGGTTTTCAATATTATTAAAAATGTCACATGTTAGTGGCCTCTACTGTCTTCTAAAAAATAAAGGCAAACGAACAAAAAAGATAATTATGTTAATTACTTTTCTTCTGCCGTTTGTTTATATAATAATGTACTATATTCCTCCCTACTTTAAACCATTTCGTTTTTTGTTTCTTATATTTTCAGCACTATTGTACTGTTTACTTATATTTGTATGATCTGGCACAGAGTAGGCTTCCTGTGAATATTTGTTAAATGGATGAAATAGTATTACTATGACTCCTACTCCATATCTTTGTAGCCTGATTTTCCCCAACCTAAGTTTGGGAAATTTATTGTCTATCATTGAATTTTTGTCAACGAGTCCGACTATATATGTGTATATTTACCTTGTGGTAGTCTTTTGTTTAAAATGTTTTCCAGAAAACTGGAAGATAGTATATAGAATAATTTAAGGATTTGCTCAGCATAACTTCGTTCAGTAAATGTGGGAATAATGACTCATCTATGCACTTGTGAAAGAGCCAGTTATCGAGTGCTTATTCTGCGCCAATATCTCTTATAAACATTGAATAACATGGACTTTTGAACCAGGCTTTATGAATGGGAGGATTAGAAAGAAAAGGAAAATTAAATCAAAGTCATCAATTGAGAATTATAATGGGGATATTACTCAGATAACAAAGTAATAAAAAATAGTTCAAACAGTGTTTGGAGCGTTATAGGACTGCAAAACAAAGATGAGTACAGAGACACTACAACTAAGATATTTACCTTCAAACCTGAGAAGAGTCTCTCAAAAGATTGCTGGCTGACTTTGGGCCTGATTATAGCTACGCAGTTCCTTTACTCAGTCACAAGAGGGGGCTGCTGCTTCTGCAAACTTAAGTTCCTTTCTGGGAGAGAAGCAGCTAAGCTTATGTTTTTCACTGAAGATACACAGACAACAGAAAAAAAGTAGCATATGCTTTCATCCTCTTTAGATAACTTGTATTTTATGATCTGTTGTGTTTATGGCTTCAAGGGCTCAGGGGCCTTTACCCCAGTGGCCTAAGCCCTTTAGGAGAAGCTCTCTTAACACTGTTTTCTGTAAGTTTCTTTTCCCTAATCATCTCTTACCTTCCCTATTCCTTAATTCTTTTTCCTTTGCCCCTGAGCACATTATTTGCTACTTTTTAACATCACTTCCATTTTCTGGAGTGCAACGCGTTTCTGGGATTACATGGCACTTTTCTCAAGCTCCATGGTGCATCAGACAGTTTTTTTGGCACGTTGAGGAAGAAATGATGGAACAAAGGTTCCGAATAGACACATCCTTGTGATTGATTTTCCTTATCCAGAGTCAGCCTCTTAGACTTTAAGCCTCATAAATAACTTCAGTGGACACCCTCTGAGGTGGGGATGTCTGGTTGATATCTTCACCCTCTTCCTGGGGACATTTTTAAATCTGGGGAGGAAGATCTAGACAAGGAACTGCACTATCATTGGCTGACAAGATCCTGACAACAACACAGTGACAGCTGCACTCCTTGCACGTCTTTACTAGTAGCTCTTGCTTCTGTTCTTTGGAAACTCTTTAAGCCTAGGATCAGACACAAAAACTGAACTCTGGGTCCATGATCCTAGTTTGCCCTTGAAGTATGAGGCTGGTGATTGGAGTAACTGTATTTCTGATCTTGGGTAAGTGTTCTATGTCTACCAAGGGATGGCTTTGAGGTCAAGGGACCCTGAAGGGTGGTTTGTTCTCCACTCTTCTCCCTGTGCTTTATTCAGCATGCTAGAGATATAATTGAGAAACAGTCTGTGCATTTGTCTAGGGAGAATAAAGTTCTACATCACAGGTTAGACCATAGCCATAATCCCAGAACAGCCCTTAGCAGTGTCCAGGTTGTGAGAAGTCTCTGGGTTTATTGAGCCAAGGTCCCATGGTATAGAGCCTACACAGTCTCTGATTATTGGCATGGATCCTTGCTTTATATAATTAATGCCAGTGATATTTTGTGTTCCTGTAGGACATAAATAAAAGCACTGCAGTATGGGGTGGGGCCAGAGAGGAAAGTTATGGGAGTATTGTATCCTTGATCCATAGAATTACATTGATTTGGTTATCAGGGGCTAATCTGATTTTCTTCACCTCTTAGGGACTATGACTGATGCTAAAGCCACCCAGCCCAACTCCATAGATTCTGCTGAAGGAGGAACTGTAAACCTGCCTTGTAACCACTCTACTATTGGCAGAAATGAGTATATACACTGGTACCGGCAAAAGCCCAGTCAGAGTCCACAACATATAATTTATGGTTTACAAAACACTGTGACCAATGAAATGGCCTCTCTGACCATCGCAGCAGACAGAAAGTCCAGCATCTTGATCCTGTCCCACGTCACCCTGAGAGACACTGCCATGTACCACTGCATCTTGAGAGATGCACACTGGGACAGATGGGGCTGCACCTGCACAGTATCTCCCTAGTGACAAGGGTCTGAGGGCAGCAGCAACCATCTAGAACAAAAGATCAATAGGAGTCAGAGAGTAATAAGAAAGGAGAAAAATGGAAGGAAAGAACAAAGTGAGGAGATGGATAAGGAAAAGTAGAGAGAGGATGAATGGAGCAAAGACAAGAAATAAGGACTTCATTTGTTGATGTGACTGGGAATTAGGAGAGGACTAAGAAACATAATTTTAACATAACAATAAAAGAAAGAGGCTTAAGAATTTGTCACAATTTCTCCTCATGTCAATAAAATGTTTATTCAGTGTATTAGTCTCAATAAAAAGGGTGAGGAAAATCTAAATAATTCTGCTTGTCTCAGGCTATTTTCATCTGGATCCAGGGACAATCCAAGCTCTGAAATGCATACTATCACAGTTGCTCCAATTACCAGAAACAAATCGATCTTTTGCAAGAAAAATCTGAAGTGTGATTTGTTGCTAGTCTAGACCATGTATATTTGAGATGAAGAAAAGTGTTTTTGTTACAAAAGAAACAAAAATTAAGTGAATACTAATTTATTTCTGTTTGTCTTGAAGCATTGAGTGTTGATAATTTTTAAAATATTTCCTAAGCATAACACAGATCCATCTCATCATAAAAGTTTCAGGCAGAGGGAAAGTGAAAGTACCATCATTTCACGCTAGCTTCCACCACCCTTCGCAGAAAACACCAAGTTTGACAGTTTAAGGTACATCATGATTGACTGTTTTATTTCAATTATACATACATACATACATATATATATATCTATATATTTATATATCTTTGCATATGATTTTATGCAACCACATATAAATTTATGTACACACATGGATACACATGAAGTTTTTCCATGCATGACAAAGGCAACAAGAACATACATTGGGGAAAAGACTGCCTCTTCAATAAATGGTGCTGGGAAAATTGGACTTCTACATGCAGAAGAATGAAACTGGACCTGTACCTCTCACCATATACCAAAATCCACTCAAAATGGGTTAAAGACTTAAATATAAGACCCCAAACCATAAAATTACTAAAGGAAAACAGGGGAAACACTTCAGGAAGTAGGACTGGGCAAAGGCTTTATGAATAAGATCCCAAATCACAATAAACAAAAGAAAAAAATAAACAAACGGTCCTATATAAAATTTAAAAAGCTTCTGCACAGCAAAGGAAACAATCAAGAGAGCAGAAAGACAACCTACAGAATGGGAGAAAATATTTGCAAGCTGTACATCCAACAAGGTATTAATAGCCAGAATATATAAAAAACTCAGCCATAAACAACCATATAGTAAAAAAAGAAATAATCCAATTAAAAAATGGGTAAAGGAGATGAATAAACATTTTTCAAAGGAAAACATACAAATGGCCTACTGGTATATGAAAAAATGCTCAATATCACTAGTCATCAGAGATATGCAAATCAAAACCCCATTAGGATATCATCTCACCCCAGTTAGGCTGGCCATTATTAAAAAGACCAAGAACAACAAATACTGGCAAGGATGTGGGGAAAGAGGAACTCTTCTACGCTGTTGATGGGACTGTAAATTAGTGCAGCCATTAGGGAAAACAGCAAGAAGGCTCCTCAAACAACCACATTTAGAACTACCATATGATCCAGCAATCCCACTACTGGGCATATATCCAAAGGAATGGAAATCATCGTGTCAAAGGGATACCTGCATGCCTGTGTTCACCACAGCTCTATTTACAATAGCCAAAATATGGAACCACTGTGCTTTGTTTATTTCATTCAACATAAGTTTCTCCAAGCTCATCCATGATGTTGCAAATGGCAGAATTTCATTCTTTTTTATGGCAGAGTAGTATACCAGTGAGTGGGGAAGACAGGGTACAATCACAATTCGTGGTATTGGGCATGCTGCCAGTATGGATCTGGCCTTCACATCTAGGGCATGAGGGGGAACAGTCAGCCTTGTATCTCATGAATATTCATAACTAATAAAAAAATAAAATAAAATTCTTAAAAAAATATATGGAACCAACTGTCCATCGACAGACAACTAGATAAGGAAAATGTGGTATTCCATATATACAATGGAATTCTACTCAGTCATAAAAAAAGAATGAAATTCTGCCATCTGCAGCAACATGGATGAATCTGGAGAAAATTATGTTAAGTAAAATTAGCCAGATAAGGAAAGAGAAATACCACATGTTCTCACTTATAACTGTTCTCACTTTCTTAACTTTTATAAGAAAGAAGAAAGAAATAAAAAAGAAAGAGAGAGAGAGAAAGACCAAAACATCACATTTAATTTTCTGAAGGGGAAAACAAACCTAAAGATACTAGAGATGGGGGGGAGGGGTGAGGGAAGGAATAAGTCAGGTAAAGGGCATAAAGAAAAGTCATGATTTGTGATAATAATAAGCTTATAATAAATAACTGAAATGGATTTATTTGAATTTTTCCAACTTGAGTTTCATTTTTTATTTAATAAAGTGTCCGAGAGATCTTTTTACATCAGTAGAGAAGTCCACTTTATTCTTTTTGGTGTCTATTTAAACACTTTGAAACATTCCATCATTTAATTAATTACTTTTTACTGATGTATATTTGTTTCTGTTTCCTTGTTGTCATGAATATTGTGTTCTACATCTTTGTACATTCACCTTCATATGTATGTGGAAGTGTCTATTTTAATAAGGTTTCAGAAATTGATATCTCTATGCCCCCCCAAAAAAAAAGGTGCATTTAAAATTTTTGGAGGAAGTGACAATTTTGCCTTCCAAATGGAGCATCAGTGAAATGGAGCATGGGACCCATGTCACATACACGTTCTAGAGCAAAATGTCAAGAATGTTAGAGTAGAACTTGTGAGTTATGAGTTGAGAAAACAAATGGCTCTTTATCCTATAGGAAGATAGTGCTAGTACCTGTAATATTCAAATGGCAGTAAAAATATGTGCTGTTGGTTGAGGAGGAATTCTAAAGCATCCTTAACTCTTTTTTAGCCACACATTTTCTCAGGCAGAAAGGATACTGAAGAAAACAGAACATAAAGCCGAGAAAATAGGAGCTCAATCCTTGATGTGAGTGGCATTCAAGTATTCTTGGGATCATTGCAAAGACTGAGAAATTTGTTCTGGTAAATAGGATGTGTAGATAAATGTAAGTTGCTATGATTATCATACTTTGGAAATTGCTTTGTGAGATGTGTGAGAGATAAGGGAACAGATATCTACACCCAAATCTTAGAAAGTGCAGTGAGATGTGCTGGTAGCAGTTTCCCAGTTTCCAAAAATTGGCATCTCTTTCAAGATCTTTCACTTTCTTACACTCATTCTTACAGCCTTTGATTTCTCCTTCCTTTTGTTTACCACCATCCTCTACTCCCCTATATTTGAACACACAAAGATCTGAAACCTATATTTCTGTTTTTTTTTTTTTCCCTGAAATATCTTCTTTATCTAGGACAGTGACTAGCAAACAGTAGGCACTCAATAAACATTTATTCAGTAAATAAAAATTCATGACTAAAATTTTACTGGAAAATATTAGGAATACAATAAAATGCTAGGGGCATGAAAATACAAGAGCCCAAGGATATCACATAAATATAATACGGACGGGGATATATTCTAAAACCTTATTCATTCATGAACTCATTAATTTCTTTGTTCCTTTTTCTTTCTTCTTTCCTTATTTTCTTCTCTATCTTTCTTTTCCCTCCTTTTTTTCTTTCTTTTTTCTTTTCTCTTTTCACTATTTGTGAAATAGATTCCTATGTATTTTCTCAAGCTCTTCCCTGTGAAATTCCAATTCAAAATTAATTCCAGTTCAAAATTCTCTTTATCTGTGACAGTCTTCATAAATCATGCCAAGTGTATAAATTCTTCCCACCTCTATTAAAATTCTTATGCATTGTGTTGATCACAGGGTAGTTGACACCAGATGTTTAGAAAGGTTAGAATGGCATTTAGCTAAGATCCCATGAAAAGGAGGGGGGGGCTCTCCTAACTTTACAAAGAAAAGAAAATTGGCACTGACAATCAATCCATTGCCGTAAGTACAAGCCAATGAACATAGTGTAGAAAGCACATATGATGATTTAGCAATGCTATGCCTCCAGGAAACAGTGTCTGCCTACCCCATAGTGAACAGATTTTTTTTTAATGTTTTTTCTTGTCTTTCTGTCTTTTTCATTCTTGTTCAGGAATTATCCTCTACCAATCAAAAAATCATGTCTCTGTTCTTACACTGAATGCTTTCTTTTTTTTTTTTTTTTTTTTTTTTTTTTTTTTTTTTTTTTTTTTTTTTTTTTTTTAAAA